TTTTTTTTTTTTTTTTTTTTGTACCGGGGATGGAATTCAGGACCTTGCGCTTGCCAGGAAGATGCTGTGCCACTGAGCTACATCCCCAGGCCTAGTGACAGGTATTTCTGACAGGCTAGACATAAACCAAAATGTTAGAGGTGATTATCTTTGGATGCTGGGACTATGGATACTTTGGTTTTGCTTTTATCTGAGCTCTTTTAGATATTTCTAGTTTCTTTTATTGAGCTTATATACTTTTGAGTAAGAGGGGGAAAAAAATCACAAGTTTTTTTAAAAGAAAAAAGTAGTTGCCTTAAGGAGAGAGAGACAAAGAGGGAGACTTGCAAACTCTGAAGTCTAATGTACCTAAAGATCACATGGCAGTTTAAAATGGAGAGTGGGCACAACTGAACTATGGAAATAAAGATTCAATTTGGACTCTTTTCCACCCTATTTTTCCCTGAGCTAATTTCATAAATCAAAAGCTGTCAACCATACCCTTGTCAAGGAAAAATAGTTCAAAGTCCCCACTTCATGGGAAGAAACACTAATATTAAGCACTTTACCACAAGCCCTCATCGAAAGCAGAATAGGCACAGACTAGTTCCAAAAGGAAGGGCGGTCTTTAGCAACCGGCCAGCGTGGATCTGTGCATGGGTCGGTGTGTGTGTGTGTGTGTGTGTGTGTGTGTGTGTGGCAGAGAGTCTGGGAGAGATACAACTGGTTAATACAAGTTTTATTTCAGCCAAGAATCCTCTGACAAAGACAAAAAGGCCTCCCAGATTTGGAGCTCACAGCACAGGGAGAGGCCCACATCCCTCAAGGAGCAGGAGGCCCTGCACAGGCAGCACTGAAATGTGACATCAACCCCGTCCACCACACGGGCTGTGACAGCTCTGTGATTGCTTCCAGTGGCCAGGGCTCCTCACCCCTCAGCAGAGCATCTGGGCAAGGCGACAGGGTGGGTCCCTTTACTCTCCTGGCTCCTCCCTCCCTTCCACAAAAGGGCATGCGGTCAGAGTTGAGAGAGAATGCTTTTCAGAATGCTTAACCACTAATGACAGCCGCTCGCCCTGAATGACAGGCTGGAGCAGGGCCGGGATTAGCCCGTAAACCAGTGGCAGCTGGGACCACTTTGCATGAATGGCTGCCTCCCTGCCCATGGCCAACCACCACCTCTGCTGCCACCTCCCCCACAGACACACACCCCACACCCACGAACCTTTCCAGAATCTACCCCTGCCCTGAATCTACAGCTTCCAGGGCTTTTTTTTTTTTTTTT